CATTTCAATTGACAAATCAGTTTTGTGCCTTGAAATTATTAATTTGCCCTTTTAGAGGAGTGGTGTCAGTAGGTTCAGGATTTTGATTTTCTACGTTAATTTGGTTTATGCTGATTCTAGTTTGTACTGCAGAATGATGGAGTGACCATCTTACACCACCCCATGTGTGAACTTAGAAATGAACAGCATTAGTTGACATTTTCCTGTCTTTATCCAGCCCCTGATTCGGTATAGTCTTCAGTGCCGAGATCTGGTGGATGAAGCCAAGAAATTTCACCTGAGACCGGAAATCCGCACACAGATGCAGAGTCCCAGGACTAGACCAAGATTGGGTAAGTGTCGGTGAACAGTTAGGTAATCCTTGCATTCATATTGGAGTCTATTCTTTGTTTGAAAAACCGGTGAAAATGCGAGGGACAAGGTTTGACAAGGTTCCACATAGTAGATTAATTAGCAAAGTTAGATCACATGGGATTCAGGGTGAGCTTGCCTTTTGGATATAGAATTGGCTAACGGCAAAAGACCGAAAGTAATGGTAGAAGATGTGTTTTTGGACTGGAGACCTGTGACCGGTGGTGTTCCGCAGGGATTAGTGCTGGGTCCACTTTTGTTTGTCATTTATAAAAATGATTTAGACAAAAATATTGCCAGCATGGTTAGTAGATTTGCAGATGATAATAGGATAATAGATTGCAGTAGGATAATAGGTTGGCACAACATCGTGGGCCGAAGGGCCTGTACTGTTCTGTGTTCTATGTTCTATGACACTAAAATTGGTGGTATACTGGATCGTGAAGAAGGTTCTCCAAGATTACTAACAAATCTTGTCAATTGGGTCAATGGGCTGAACGGTGCCAGATGGATTTTAATTTGGATAAATGAGAGGTTTTGCATTTTGGAAAAACAAACAAGGGCGTGACTTCTACAATTAAAAGCAGGGCCTTGGGTAGTGATGTAGAACAGAGACACCTAGGGGTTCAGGTGTGTAATTCTTTGAAACTGGCATCACATACAGATAGGGTGGTTAAGAAGGTGTTTAGCATGCTTGCCTTCATTGCTCAGACCTTTGAGTATAAGAGTTGGGATGTTATTGTTGAGGTTGTACAGGATGTTGGTGATGCCTCTTTTGGAGTATTATGCCCAGTTCTGGTCGGCCTGGTATAGGAAGAATGTTATTAAACTGGGGAGGGTCAGAAGAGATTTACCAGGAGGTTGCCAGGAATGTAAGGTTTGAGTTATAAGGAGAGGCTGGATAGGCTGGGACTTTTGGTACTGGACTGTAGGAGATTGAGAGGTGACCTTAAAGAGGTTGATAAAATCATGAGCGGTATAGGTAAGGTGAATGGCAGGTGTCTTTTCCCTAGGGTGGGGAATTTCAAGACTAGGGGGCATATTTTTAAGGTGAGTGTGGAAAGATTTAAAAAAGACATGATGGGCAGTTTTTTTTTTTAACACCGTCATTTGTGTGTGGAATGAACATTAAGAGGAAGTGGTGGATACGGGTAGTGTTACCACGTTTAAAAGATGTTTAGATAAGTACATGAACCAGAGATGTTTGGAGGGATGTGGGCCAAGCACAGGCAGGTGGAATTAGTTTAGTTTGGGATTATAGTGGGCATGGATTGGTTGGACCGAAGGGTCTGTTTCTGTGCTGTAAGACTCTGTGACAGTTGGTTGACAGTTTGAAGCTATGTAGAGATTCCAATTATCTTAAGTTCACTTGAGATAGACTGTGCAGTTCATACTGTCTTGTCAGCCCAGTCTTGGATCTTTTTGAGTCTGGTCTGATGATGGTAACAGTCTCCTTTCCATTGACTGAGAATGCACAAAATAAAATCATATTCTCAACCTATTCCCTAGTGTATACCGAGCCAAGGTACTCAAAGCTGCCTGAGGTCACTAATGAATTCTAACTTATTAGAAAGATCTCAAGGATACTGAAATATCACATTGGTGCTTGTCTTGAGGATGGGGGAATAAAGACCATTTTATGCTTTATCTAAATACCTTATCATGACTGTAAAATATAGAAAGATATTTGTTCTTCTGTGGTCACCTTTGAAATCAAACAGAATCACCAATGTTAATTAACTCTGCTGAGATAAAATGCCTTGTAGTGCCATTAACAGAATGAAATGTCTCAAAACACTTCTTAGAAGCATTATAAAACAAAATGTGATGCAGTCCCATCCAAAGCGAATTAGGGAAATGACTAAAGACTTTGTCAAAAAGGTAACTTTTAATGAATGTCTTACAGGAGGGAGGTTAAGCAGAGAGGAGGAGAGGTTTAGGGTGGAATTGCAGAGCTACCAATGGTGCAATGATTAAAGTCAGGGAGACTGGAGAGCCAGAATTAGAAAAGCAGAGTATCAATTGTTGCATTCCATGATTCTTGAGGTGCCAGGCCTGCGGGACAAAATCATCATTTATTTACAGGGCAGATTGGTTCATATAAATAATGGAATATTTACAACAATCAAAAATACTGCACATCAAAAAAGCTACCAACGACAGAGAGTATGCATTCAAAAAAAAACAGAGAAATCAAAGCACTTTTGTCAGCTTTGAAGTAGCTTGAAGATAGCACAATGCAATTCTTAAAACAGTTATTGGTGATAGAAATGCCTGCAGTAAATCTCTTTTCTCAGAGCTGACCTGGATTTCTGAAACCAGTCTGAAAACAATGTGCATTTAGTGTGGATGAGACCATTCACCTGGGCATCTTAGTCGCAGAAAAGCAAAATACTGTAGATGCTAGAAATAAAAAAACGAAAAGTGCTGGAACTACTCAGCAGGACCAGCAGCATTTGTGAACAGAGAAACAGCTACCATTTTGTTTTGATGATCTATCACCAGAATTGGGAAAAGTTAGAAAAATAAGTGGCTATGAGTAAATGGAAGGGGGAGGCAGGAAAAAGAATGAAATAAATGAAAAGCTGGGAGAAAATGACAAAAGAATTGGTGGTGCTGAGCCAAATGGGAATGATGGTACAGCAAGTGGAAAACACAAAGGATGCCTCTCCAGGAAAAGGATTGATGTCTCAGCCCTAAAGCAGCCTATATAAATAGATGAATTCAAATGTAGCCCGTGATCAGTCTGGAAAATGTTCACACCCCCTAGCTAGGATCAAATAAAATCAGCTGACTGGAGTCCTGTGCTCAGATAATTCGAGTGTCGCCACCACAGGACTGAGTTGATGAAGGTTATGTTGAAATGAGTGACCACCTAGAAAAAAACGTGCACAGTACTGCAACCTTCTTTGGCCTGATGCTGAAAGATAAATCCAGAAGAGACAGCCTGAGAGATCCAACGGTATGTTGACCATCTTATGTGGAAAATGATTTTGAAGCCACCAAGATCAAATGGACAACATCCTCTTTGCTGACTGGGTGGTGTCTGTCTTCTAAAGGATGACGTTGCCATCCATTGGGAAGAACATTTTGAACAGTATGTCAACTGTGAATCCTCAGTGACAGCTGATACTGTCCAGGCCATCTCCCAGTACCCTGCAGTATGATCCATGGGTGAACCACTGTCAGTGAGAGAGCTGTAACAAATAATCAAACAGATGAAAAACCCCAAAGCCTACAGCCCTGATTCTGTTACAAAGCTTTGAGGTTCTCAGAACTGGCAGACCTTTATTGCACTGCGAGTCCATCCACTCATACTATAAATTTGAAAGGAAAATGAACTCCCATCTGATTTCAAGAATGCAAAAACTTGAACTACCTTCAAGAAAAGTGACAAATACTGTTGTAGAAACTTATCAAGTTGTTTCCCTCTTTTCCGTTGCATGAATTGCCTGCTTCCGATGGCTGAGAAAATCTTCCCAGATCAACAGTGTCACTTCAGATTTCAGGGAAACTTCTGATGTGGTCTTAGTTGCCAGGCAAATCCATGAAAAATGTTAAGAACATCACCATCAACTCTTTATTGCATTTGCTAATCCAACTGAAGCATTTGGCTCAGTTATTTGCAAAGCTCTATGGACTGTGTTCCAAAGAAACTTCTTCACAATCCTGCAATTACTTTGTGATGATATGACTGCAGCTGTCTAGAGTGGGAGATCTGAAACAGACACCTTCCAAGTCTGGATTGGGGTCACGCAAGCACTTGTGATAGATTACAAATAGTATGGGTGCTATTTGCCAGTGACTATTAACCTCTTCAAAGATCAGCTTCCTTCTAGTGTCACTATTAAATACCTTCCAGGTGAAAAACTCTTTGACCTCAGTCATTTCCCAAAACTAAATTGACCACCATGGATGGACATGATCAACAGCATGATAATGACAGCAGTATTGTTGTCTATCCTACACCACATTAACAAACCATACTTCAATTCTGCCTGTCCTTGAATGTTGCCGAAACAAAACTCCTCCTTTCGATCCACACCTCGTCAGCCAAATATCCCATATCCCATACATGTTGAAGGAGAGACTCTGAAATATATTGACCACCTTCCACAACTTGGCAACTGCCTCTCTCAAAAGGACATCATTGATTAGATTCAACAAAGGATCAGCTCAGCCTTTTATATTTATGGCAGCAAATATTTGACAATAAATGGTTAAATCAACAGAAGTCTTAATGTACAGAGCAGTTGTTGTCACTGTATTCTTATACTGCAGTGTGACGTGAACAATACATCAGCAACACTGAAGTGTGCCAGAGAAATTGCTGCACTCAGGTCGTCTCATGAGGTAGTGAGATCCAGTCCCATGTGCCCAAAGATCAGCTGGTCGAGAATCAGCTTACTCAGTCACATGAAGATCCACAACAGAGACTGATGACCGTGAGAAGTGGTCATCATTGAATCTAGGGACCACCAAAAACAGCGTAGGCTTTTTGTTTCCCAGCATTTCAGATTTTAAAAAATTCACATCTTGTCAGCATTTCTATTTGAATTTTGTGTTCTGTATCAGAATGTATATGCAGGCTTTGGCCACTGGGTTGCTGTATTGAGCAAGTTGCAGATTGACCTGCAACTCCTCCATCAGCATTTGTTCCTTGAAAATTAAATCAACTGACAGCCAAAGGTATGGGCAGTCTCCTTGTATTAAGCGTGTCCTATGTTGAACTTCAACGTTCTGTTATGATTTATGTTGTTCGTTATGATACTTGTTACTGCCCAAATATAATGAGAATTTACGTAATATGGGCTGTATTACGATGCTTTCTTTCCTATACATTGTCTTTCAGTCCTCTTGCACCAGATGGCGTTATCTTTCTTTCTGGATGCTGCTGTTTAGCTTTCCCATTGCAACAGAGTTTTACTTTTTTTTTTGTTTGAAAATAAATGGCTTGATAGGTTTCTGAAGCTTAGGGAGCTTCATGTCACTTTGGTGTGCCAAGCTGGTTCTGCAGCCAATTTGAAGGCATGTTTTTAAAAAAATAAATCAGGTGCAAATAGTTTAAAATTTGAAAGTATGTTCTCATAAATATACCTGGGAGTTTCTTCTTATTGCTGTCATTATAAATGGGTAGCTTTTATGTCCATTTTAGTCCACTTCAGTCTAACATTCTCCCAGTGGGCTATTTCAGCGGACTTTGACTGCTTGGAGTGTGAAAAAGAATCAAAAAGTCCTATATCTGTACAGGAACCTTTAAATCAGTTGTTACCTCAGCCAAAGTGGACTTGCTTTCTGACAACCATCATTCCTTCTCCACCCCATATGCATGTCTTAATTGATGAACATTTTGAATTAAGAACAAAAATAGAAGCTGCTGCAAAAGCGCAGCAGGTCTGGCAGCATCTGTGGAGAGAAATCAGAGTTAACATTTCAGGTCCAGTGACCCTTCCTCATAGCGTTTCTTTGAAAAGAGCAAGGTAGTTCTCCTCAGTGGCCTTGCTAGTCCTTATCGCTCAGTCAACATTACTTACAAACTATCTGATAATGGTCATCTTGCTTTTTGGAGAAATTTGCTGGACACAAATTAAATGCTGCATTTTCTGCATTGTATTAGTGACCACACATTCAAAAGTGCTCTGAATCTTTTTGACAACATAAAGAGCATGAGATAAATCAAAATAAAAATAAAAAGAACTGCGGATGCTGTAAATCAGAAACAAAAACAGAAATTGCTAGAAAGGTTCAGCAGGTTTGTGAAGAGAAATCAGAGTTAACTGATATTGTTCTGAGGAAGGGTCACCGGATCTGAAACATTAACTCTGATTTCTCTTCACAGATGCTGCCAGACCTGCTGAGCTTTTCCAGCAACTTCTGTTTTTGATCCTGATTTTACTGCATTTACAGTTCTTTCGGTTTTTAACTCTCTGAATTAACCTGTTCAGAGAGGTTATTACACACTTCTGGAACAGGTGGGACTTGAACCTGGGTCTCCTTGCCTGGAGATAGCAAACTATCATTGCATCAGAAGAGTCCTTTATAGTTATATTAAATAACCTTTATTTGGAGATGCTGTTACACACCTCTGGGGCAGGTGGGAGGTGTATCTAGGTATCCTACCCCAGAGTTAAGGACATTACCAATATACCACAAGATTCTTCAACTCTTCCCGTAAGAGTCATGTTTTCAACAGCAAATAGCACCTCTTTGTTGCAAGTTGAAACTCGAATTCTGCAAATCGTTCATTTCTGTCATGCTCCAAGTATGAAAAGTATAAAAAGAAAGAGAGGTAGTCATTTCCTGTGTTTTTTTGACTTTAGTAACCTGATTTCCTTCTAAAATGCAAATATTGGGGTTTTACTATAACTGGCTGCCTATCTACATCTATGACACACACAAATTTGCTTCTAATGACCTCCAGGATGTGTAATCAAAGCATTTGTCCACTGAGAATATATGAGCCAATAAGAAACAAACGGGTGGAAAACAGCTACACAGCATAGTGCAGCTACAGTTTACCATGTCCCTTAGCCCAGGCAAACAAGTGTAGATCATTTAACATGAGAATATTAATTTAGTTTTCCTATTAAGCAGTGAGGTCTCCTAGCACAGGATAATGTTGTAGGGAATACTCTTGTTCTTTAGAAAGAGATCTGAGCTATCTTACTAACTTTGTCCTTGTACCTTGAATCTCTTCATCCGTCTCTCCACCAAGGATTATGAAATCTGATCATTTTGAATTGATTTCCTACAAGTGACTGCACTTCAAAAGTAACTTATTGGCCGTAACTGATTTGGGACATGCTGACATTGTGAAAGGTGCTATATTGTTTCATGTGAAGAAAGTACTGAATATGCAGGTTTTTGACTCTGTGTTTATTCCTGTAGGAGCCAATGAGGTATTGTTAGTGATTGGAGGGTTCGGAAGTCAACAGTCTCCAATTGACATTGTGGAGAAGTACAATCCCAAGTCTCAGGAGTGGAGCTTCCTACCTGTGAGTAGTTGTTTTTACCTGTGACCTGGTCTATTCCGCACCAGTTGTGAATCACTTTTCCCTTTTAGGATGAGGATTTGATTTACACCAACAGTAGGTTTGTAGGGCAGGCTGCAGAGAGAAAACAAAGACTACCTGATCTCCCATCGCTAATGTGAGCTCATGAAAAACTTTACAATGCAATCTTTATACAATACTTTGTAGATAACTCATCCTGCACCACTGTGGCTGGCTCTCAACTGTTTTCTGAATGGCCAAGTTAGGTAACTCAGTATGAAACTATTCATGAAAGCCCACCTTTAGCATGCTTGCCTTTATTGCTCAGACCTTTGCATGTAGACGTTGGCACGTCATGTTGAGGTTGTACAGGGCGTTGGTGAGACCTCTTCTGGAGTACTGTGTGCAATTCTGGTTACCCTGTTACAGGAAGGATATTATTAAACTGGAGAGGGTTCAGAAGAGATTTACCAGGATGTTGCCAGGGTTGGAGGGTTTGAGTTATAAGGAGAGCTGGATAGGCTGGGGCTATCTTCACTAGAGTTTCAGAGGCTGAGGGGTGACCTTATAGAGATTTATAAAATCATGAGAGATGTAGATAAGGTGAATGGCAGATGTCTTTTCCCTAGGGTGAGGGATTTCAAGACTAAGGGACGTATTTTTAAGGTGAGAGTAGAAAACTTTAAAAAAAGACATGAGTGGCATTTTTTTTTTACACAGAGACTGGTTCATATGTGGAATGAACTTCCAGAGGAAGTCATGGATGTGGGTACAGTTACAACGCTTAAAAGACATTTGGATAAGTACATGAATAAGAAATGTTTGAAGGGATATGGGCAATCGCAGGCAGATGGGACTAGTTTAATTTGGGAACATGGTCGGCATGGACTGGTTGGACTGAAGGGTCTGTTTCCTGCTGTATGACTGTATGACCATCATCGTCTCTCAGGATAAGCTGAGATCAGAAATAAATGATAATCTTACCAGCAATGCCCTCAGTATGATAATGGAAATCCTAGAACTAATATCAACACAAGGTGTTTCCTCCTTTCGGCACTAACTGTGGGTAGCACACCTGCCTCTGACTCAGAATGCTTTAGGTACAAATGCTGCTTCTAAATCTTGAGCACCAAATTTAGGTTGTCACGAAGTGCTGTACTACAGGAGGAGCTGTCCCTCCAATGCGACATTAAACCGAGGATACACTTGCTCTACCAGATGCATCTAAAAGATCCCATGGTTCTTATGTGGTTATGTGACTGATTGGTTTAAAATATTGGACTGAGGCTCTAATCTCTGTCTAAATGTGGTCTAAGTCCCAGAAATGGCAGAATTTCCCAGCATGGACTTGATGGACTGAATGGCCTCTCTCGGCCATAATGATTATTTAGAAAATACACAGACTCAGGTTCTGCCCAATGTTCTGGTAAATACATACGTTGTGACCAATGACAGTAAAACAAATAAACTAGTTATTGTCACTAAACGTTGGGACCTTAGTGTGTGTAAATTGGTTGCTGTATTTCCCTACATGACTATAATATCCACACTTACAAATGGGTTCCATTCTGCAGTCTGCTTGTATGCTAATTTGTGCACAAGTCAGAATACATTGCAGGACAATATAAAGGAACTATTCGTTAAGTACAGGAAATCTTCATATTTCGGATCTTTAAAATCACATTGAGATTGCGTTCATAAATACAAGTGTTTGTAAATCGGGGAGCCCCTGTAATTGGATACAAAGCATTTTGCGGCAGTCTCATGTGCCATATAGAAAGTCCCCCCTCCTCTCCTTACTTCAAGTCTAAATATAATCTCAAATTGCTGTGCACTGACATGCAATACGATACCTAATTTGGCAAAACTGAAAATTCTTGGAAAATAATGTCCCTTTTATGGCATTCTGGGGTTGGGGAAAGGTAGAGGATGACTTCCTGTCTGGCTGTGGCATACGTCCTTAATGGTGATTTTCAGTGGAAAGTTTTATTCTTCAGCCTGTGACACATACAAAAGTGCTTAAACCAATGACGTTTTGCTTTTAATGATTTGTTCTCCATTAACATCGCAATCAAAAGATCAAATAAAATACAGTCTGAAATAAAATACTGGTGAGCAGGTTAGTCAGTCAGTCTGGGGAAGAAAGAGCTGTCCAACCTTTTGAACTTGTATTCCGAAGAAGAGAATGTAATGGAAATGTCTGAATCTTCCATTCAGAGATGCTGTCTGCCATCGGCAGTGTTTTCAGCTCCTGTTTGCTTTGTTCCTGACAGAGCATCACTCGGAAACGGAGGTACGTGGCCACAGTCTCATTGAATGATCGTATTTATGTAATTGGAGGCTATGATGGTCGTTCCAGACTCAGCTCAGTAGAATGCCTGGACTACACATCTGATGAAGATGGTGTCTGGTACTCAGTAGCCCCGATGAATGTGCGCCGAGGCCTGGCTGGAGCGACAACACTTGGAGGTGAGGGCCTGCTTCAGCGCTAGCTTGGAAACAGTGTTAAGATTTACAGTCGCTTGAAAACTACAGCCTTGATTAAATAGACCACAGTATAGAGTGGCTGGTTTGGAAGGTTTCCACGATAACTAAGTGTACTGTGTGGGGAAGGGATGGGAGATGGGGTTCACAGAAAGGTCACTGGTTTGTAATGGGAACAATTGAGCTCGACGGAAGTTTGGTTTCATCATTTGAATGGCGTTGCTTGCTTTTTTTTTCATTCCCCCCCTCTCAATTTCTCTATCCCTCTCACTGTTTCGCGCTCTCCCTCTGCATTCTCACTCTTTCTCGTGATCTCTCATGTTCTCTTCTGCACACTGGCACTGACTTACTGTCTGATGCATTCTCATCGTCATAGAGTCATACAGAGTGGAGAGTCATTCGGGATTGGAAAGGGAGGCAATGGCCTAGTGGTATTACCGCTGGACATTAATTCAGAGACCCAGATAACGTTCTGGGGACCTGGGTTCAAATCCCACCATGGCAGATGGTGGAATTTGAATTCAATAAAGTATCTGGAATTAAGAATCTAATGATGACTGTGTGTCCATTGTCGGACAAACACACATCTGGATTCACTGATATCCTTTCAGGAAGGAAACTGCCATCCTTACCCAGTCTGGCCTACATGTGACTCTAGACTCTAGGTTAACTCTGAACTGCCCTCTGGGCAATTAGGGATAATGAATGCTGCCTGGCCAGCGACGCCCTCATCCCATGAATGAATAAAGGGAAAAAAAGACCCTTTGGACTAACAAATCCGTGCTGACAATAATCCCAGACTAAACTAATCCTACCTGCCTGCACTTGGCCCATATCTCTTCGAATGTTTCTTATTTATGTACTTATTAAATGTTTTTTAAACGTTGTAAAGGTACCCACATTCACCACTTCCTCTGGCAGTTCATTCCACATACAAACCCCTATCTTTTTAAAAAAGTGCCCAAAATGCCCATTCTCCTCTCACTTTAAAAATATGCCCGCAATCTTGAAATCCCCCACTATAGGGAAAAGACACCTGCCTTCACCTTATTGATGCCCCTCATGATTTTATAAACCTCTATAAGGTCACCCCTCAGCTTCTGACACTCCTGTGAAAAATGTCCCAGCCTATCCAACCTCTCCCTATAACTCAAACCGTCCACCCTCAGCAACA